GATTGATATTAGTATCTCATATAGGCTTCAATCTCATTCCCCTCAATGTTTTGAGAATCAATTTTCTTCCCAATGTTTAGTCAGAGAAACGGCCAAGTTTACTCCTGATTTTACATAATCAATGGCGGTTTGTGATTTGATGTACTAATTTGATAGTTTTTTCTAGCCACATATATCAAATCACTAACAACCACATGCATGTCACGTAAAGCGATTCGATAGTGAGTAACTGCAAATAACATTACTAAAATAAGAAATAACTAGAAAACGAAAATAAAGAATGAGTGTAAATTCTTGATGCATGACAATTATGGTCTGATGTTGTTTTTCTTTGTGGATTGTCTTATTTTTCTTTGGGTGGGGATTGGTAGGGTTATTCGAAATAAATACTATCCCATTTCTTTGTTTGAGACTGCATCACCAAAATAAGGTCTCGATTTGATTTTATGTTGTTGAGGAGAAATGACATATTAGTGGGCATAATATGGTGTACAATTTTGATAATCAATGTGACTTGCTGTACAAATTCATTGTGGTTGGTATCATCTAGGAGAGCCCAGGTCGTTAACTTATAAACGAGATGTATACTATAAACAAACAAGCTCGTTTTAATAGGATAGTATTAGAATGGTGAGGGAGCATTCTTACAGTGTGAATCCGACTTCTATGGCTGTGTTGTGAATCTGCCATGATAAAAGCATCTAATGTTGATACAAGTTGGTTATCCCCCAGGATTCAATGGACTATTCCTCAATTGAGAGGGTAATTGGAACAAAATAATTTAAATAAGAATATAGACCCAAACTGAATATTAATTAAAAACACAAAAAGAAAACTTAAGAAAGTAATGAAGAAAGAGTGAGAGGGAGCAAATGAGATGGAGGAGAGGTGATTGAGTGAGTGAATAAAATGAATGAATAAAGGGCAGTATTTATAGGCTTCAATGTAACTAATTTTGCAATTATCTTGGCCAATAAAATCAATAAGTTATAAATTGCTGATTTTGTGCAACCAACATATAAGCATGTGCATCAAGACTTGATCAATTGGATATTGAAAATAATAGCCAATTCAAATGAATTAATCAAAGATATTCTTTTGAAATATTTTATATAACACCATGTTGACTCCTCCTATCATGTGAAATCATATTTCAAAGTTTAAATCCCTTTCACCGTGCAAAATCTATCACTGATTCAAAGTCATCCACCACCTCCGACAACTCTCATCACCATCACTACCCATAACCACTCACTCCATACCTAGCCCACTTGACTAGAAATTCTTAGGTCTACAACCTTCGATTATTATGTTTTTCATCATTCTTGTTCTATAATTTACAACTATAAATATGTAATTTTGAATTGGTGATGCTCATTGCTCCTTGATCTAAAACTTTAGGCGTGTGACTAAGGCGGAGTGTGCAACATGTCTATTAAGGTGCATTTGATTGTTAATTTTCAATAAAAAAATGTCATTTTTTTTTACTCAAATTTCTACTTTTATGCTATTTGACTTATATTTTATTTCCATAAAAAACATTTTCCTATTATTGATAACATGATCAAATTTCCTTGAAAACAAGGAAAATATTTTCTTTAAGTTTTTATTTTTCGGGTAATTCTCTCTCATCTACCCACTAATAAAAAATGGACAAGTTTAACATTTTTTAGATTGAAAATTAAATTAATCGATCACATTTAATTGATAATTTTCATTAAGTTACAGGCAATTAAATTATCTAAAATTTATATTATTTTCATGAAAATTTCATGCTTGCAATCAAACGCATCCTTAGAGTTTTTAGATGAAAAAATCAAGGCTATGGAAAAATGTAACAATAGGATCTCAATTGGAGCTAATCATTTTTGTGTTGATGGTGGTGCGACTTCATGTGGACTTGGTGGCAATATGATGTAGTTCTTGGGGGATGATGTTGGCAACAATACCAGTAATACAATGTAAGTTAATAACTTCAATTAAATTACAAGAAGAATAAAACAATTTAAATATAAATTAATATAGAGGAAAAGTTACAAACTTATCAAACGTAGGATTTCCAGATTTGAAGATATGCCTGCTTTTTAAAAATAATTTCATCTGATTTGTGTGTAATGTTAAAATTCTTATAAATTCACCTGATTTTTGAAATTGATCCCCTAAATGTAGTTTAGTTGTGAAATTAACCATTGGGTAAATATGATGCCACTACAATTTTTATTTTTACACCATATTTTTAAATAATTTTTTTATTTACCAAAATAACTATAAATGAAATGTCATAACTCTAACCCTATAATTTTCTCTCCTATTACTATGCACATCACACTCCCACCACTGGTAATATTCATTTCATTCTCTCTCTCTTTCTGTTTTTCTTATTCTTTTCACTTTACTTATCCCCTTAATGTCTATTTGCATGTCCCCCGCCACCTCTCCTATCAAACCCAATTCTTTCTTGTTAATCTCCAACTTGAGCACTATTTGAAAAAACTCATTGGTCAATCAAATCACGAAGGAAAATGGAAAACTAAAACCAAAGCTTTCATCATTTTTAGAATTAAATAACCCAATCATTTAAGTTATTGTTCTACCACAAACATAAACCTAATTTTTTCTTGGCTTTTCCGTCGATGACAACAAACTACTTAAGCAGAGAATTCCTTTTTCCTATGTGTTGATAAGCACTTTGTATCCACCCCATACATATAAAATTTGACTAAATATCCAAGTTCCTCAATGAAACAGAATTTAGGGAAGCAGTCCACTTTACACTTTCAGGGTGACTTTCAACAAAACATCAGTCAATTTGAATGAAGATATTCTTGCATCTTGGTGCATTGTCACTAGTTGTGTACACCTTAATTCTGTTTCCACTAATCAAGTATTTCATTATTGTTCTATAGGCCAATGACAATGGTAAATGTATCCAATTTTGAAATCTATTATTTGTACATAATGTGATGTCCATAACGGTGTTCATCATTCTCACATGGAGAGGGATTCACTTGAGATAAATTATATTTTATTCGAAATGAGTATCTCTCTATATGAGAGAGGTGGACACCATTATCGATACCATGTTGTACATGTAACATAATCCATCCAATCTTTATGCTTTTCATTACGAGATCAATTAACGAGATTGATTTGTTATTTGCCTAATTGGTACCAGTGGCACATTAGCTTTGTATTCATTGATTTGTAGGACACAAATTATTGATAAAAATGATGAGTAATATTGGGAGGATGAGTACACCAAAATATTGTATTTTATTTTTCATTTTATTGTATTAAGAGTATAATTGTAAATTTATTGTGGTGTACTTATTGAAAATATATTTTAATTGTCGCGTGATTATAATGTGATATAGTAAACAAACTTTATAGTGGTAATATAATTACCCTTAACCATTTTATTGTTGTATTTTTGGTTTATAAATTTTGGCTTCAAAAAACCCTTATGAAGTACTTTTTTGAGTACACACTACAGTTTGAAGACACAACATTTAAGGTCCTGTTTCATTCACATTCTTTTAAAAAAATACATTATTAAATAGTGATTTAATATTATTTCAACCAAATATTTTTCAATAAAATAATATTACACGTAAATCCAAAATTATTTTTTAATAACATATTTTTCATCAATATACTATTTAAAAATACATTTTCATGAAAATATTGTGGCTCAGACAAGGGCTTCGTAGCAATTCTTTTGTATGAAACCATCATTTTCAGCGAGATAAGCTACTTAATAGAAGGTTAAAATAAGTGACATAATGAATAAATATTAAGATTTTTTTATGCAATTAACAAGATAAGCTATTTAATAAAGGTTGAAATATTTACTCCTTTTGTGCAATTAAAATATAACTCAACAAATAAAAATTATGCAATCAATATAACTAACTTTTTAGTAAAACTAAACAAAGCCATTTTTTACACATCTTATAAAGTTGAGTGCAGAAAGTGTAATTTCCTCATAATTCATAAATAGGGTTTATTATTTTATATATATAAAAAAAGTTGGACAAATGGAATCCAACCCAGATTCCCAATACTACGACTCCCAAAAATCTCCGTTGTAGTTGAAATTACACCCAAACAGAAAACAGAGCGAGACAAGGCAAATTGGATCTTGAAAAATTGAAAAGGAATGGAAATTGGAAGTAGCAGTGCTAAGAAAATAATACCGGAATCAGTAATGGAGGCAGTGAAGAGAACGTCGAGTAACATAGATGAAGTTAAAGCCAATTTGGAAGAGTTCTTGAAATACTGTGATTCTGAAACCCTTTCTCAATTGGAGCCTCTTGAAAGGGCCCAGGCCCTCTTCTTGATTGCTAAAGCCAACACTACTCTCGTAACCTGTATGTATTCTGCGTGTATATCTGTGTGTTTTCAGCTCTTAAAAAAATAAAAAATAAAAAAATAGAACCTTTATTCTTAGATATATACTGTGAATTTATTAAACTTGAAGTAAATGTTGGTTTCTTATTGTTATCTTTTTCGTTCATCAGATGATGGAGTTTTTCTTTAATTCAAATACCGTTGTTGTTTGCTTATTGTGGCTTTCAGTGAGGATGAGATGCAGAGGTGTGAACCCAGATAACCATCCCGTCAGAAAAGAGATAGTATGTTTCTTTTTATACTTCTCCATCTTTCTTTGGATGTGTTTACTGTGTTTTTGCTTCCTGTTTTAATATTTTCTTAGTATTCGAACTAATGCATGTATGTGATACGAGGTATTGATCAAATTATCTTTGCTAAAATTTATTTATAATTTTAAGGTTGTGAACTTGTCCGGGATCAAGTTTTATGCTTTTGATATTTTTTCAGCGTTTTTTACTAAAACTTTAGGTTTTTTTTTTTTTTTTTTTTTTTTTTTTTTTTTTTTTTTTTTTTTATGGTGCTTGTGTATGAGTTTGATAATTCTGTTTTCCTATATGCCTGTTTATAATGCTTGTGCTTTTATTTGTGCAATTTATACTTATTGAAATTTGTATCTTAATCCTGAGGTCAAGTTTAAAGCCTTGTCCAGTCCAGATGTTTTTCCCTGATTTTCTTGTGCATTTGGACATATCTTTCGACATTGCAAATGAATGGTCTACCTTAAATTGTATATTGATGAAGTCATCTGCCCCAACTTCTGGTTTAAGATTCCAAGTGGATGATTTTTTGACAACTTGTGGTGCGTGCATTTTCTAATGGTTATGTTTGCAGGAGAGATTAAGTTTGTATGAGGAGAAACTGCAGAAATGCATGGATTTGAGTAAAGGTATAATTAATTCTCCTCAATCACGTTTTATATTGAAAGACTGGTGCATTTTGCCTTGTATTTATGACACAGTATTCTATAACTTATAAGACAGATTTTGAAAAGTAGGTAGACCCATACGTTTGAAAACCCTTATGAGCTTATAAGCTCCATCCAAACATGCTCCGATTCTCCTTGATTCGGATTCAAAGGCATAGTTAACCTATTGAAATGAAACTTTCTCTTGTGGGTTTGGATTGTGGTGCATGGTAATGACCCTGTTTTGATTCTTTTGATACACATCAGCATTGTGTGTATGATATCTGATCATATGCATTATCTTGAAAACCATGTATGGATGTTCATCTTGATGAGAGGAAAGAGAAAGTAAAACACCATGTTATGCATGTTAGGGAAGCATTTCATTGCATTAGATGTATAAATGTTGGATGAGAAACTGAGAATTTATAGTTACTAAGGTGATTTCTGTCATTGTTAATTTTTGCAGCTCCAATGCGACCTTCAGCCACCATTAATCCCATGGCGGCAGCCCGCTTTATTGAGCATTCCTTACCTAACCTTTCACCAGGTAGGTGGTAATTTATTTTTGAGCATGATGTTCTTTCCATTTAGCTATCTTTTGAATAATTACATCGTTCTACAGAGCAGAAGAAAAGCATGAGGGAAATCAGTCGTGGTGAGGTGACAAGGATTAAATATGTGGATAGAAGTGTCCATAAGAAGAGAAAATATCAGTCATCTGAGAAGCAATCTGTTCGTGATGCTGCACAACAATTTCTTGAGAAAGCAGCATGTGAGCTCTTAGGTGACAATCAAAGTGGTATTAAAGGACCTTTACAACCTGAAAATTCCGATGATGATTGCATTGTTCTAGATTGATCCTCCGGTAATTTTTCTTTTTTTCACCAAATCTGTGTTTCTATTTGCACTTTGAACATTTAAATGTTTGAGTCCTAGATGCTTGTGGATCTTAGTTTTATCATATATTGTGATTCTGTTGATTCAAGTTAGAAAATTCCGAGGTTCAACTCGTTCATGGATGGTAATATTCTGTTAAGTAGTTTGTTGTTATGGAGATTGGGGTAGATGCAATGATACAAAATTTACAAAATTCAGGGCTCATTGGTAATGCTTAGCAACCTTAGTTTAAAACTCAAGCGAGTGCTGAGGGTGTGGCAGAAGTAATATACATGTTAATTATATTGACATATAATTTGCTTACATGGATTAGGACTTGTCTACATGTTTCATTGTAATTTTGTGGAATTCTGTGAAAAGACCAAGTTTATATGGAGTCCTTTAGAATTCCAATATTTGCATTTAGACAGGAACAGCTTTTTATTATTTCTAAATTTTTCAATGAGACGAATGTTTTGAACATACTAGTTTATATATAAACTGTTGCAAAGATTTATAATAGGCTAAGACAATAACCTTTGCCGAATACATTCTGTTTCCAAAAAGTGAGTCTTTTGCATTTCTCCGTATCATGATACTTTTTCCATGATAATGGTGATGAAATGACTACTAAATGGGTTGGAGATGGAAGGGTTTTCTACTTTTAATGTATGTGGATATTTCTATACTGTCTTAAGAGGAATTAACAATGAGTATTATTGCTGATCAGAATGTATTACGGAAATGGTAAATCCTGGCACATGTGGTACATAAGACATGGCAAAAAAAAAATGATGTGGAACTGATGATTTGGTTCCCATTCCACATGCCACCTAAGTATTCTGTTTTTCTATGGTTGAAATCCTTGATGAGCAACTTTGCTGACTTAAACCAACAGACTATTTGGCATGCTTGTAACAAACTTCTGATGAGATAAATATTGACAATCAATTTTGAACAGTTTATTAGTCAAAGCCAATTCCATTTGTAGGGTGCACTCTCTATTTCAAAACTTCTACTATAAATTTTAAGAATCTTTGTATTTTCGAATTTTATCCAGCAAATAGCACTAGATCTAGCTGAACTTACATCTTGTCATAAAATTTTACGAATATCTGTGCTTTTTCTATTGATCTGATGATTTTTCTTCATGCACTATAAGTTGTCTCTTTTTATGTTATATTGCTATGTGGGTTTTTTTCAATTACTAGAGAAACATAAAATAGCTCATAGAGTTACCATAAGTAATAATTATGGTTCTAATGGCTTTCTTGAGAAACTTGATTTTGGAAACAGATTTCTTCACGAGCTTGCTTTTACCTGCATATTCTTTAACTAGGTTATGGGAAATAACATGTTTTGCTTCGTAAAACATTTAGCTACCGAAAGGTTTGAATGGCTCATGAAAAAACTGTGAATAATAATTATTGAATCAATAATTTCAATGTTTGGATTGGTTGGTGCATCTGTAGGTTCCAGGACATTCAATATGCGTTATCATTACTTATAGGTTATAGCAAATATTAAAATTAGCTCATTGATTTACGCCTTTTTGTTGATTGAAAATGAGTTTCTTGTTTTTCATATAATATTAACTGAATACTTATAAACAATATATTAAAAATATTTAATCCTTCTTAGTAAGTCAGACTCATTCATATGAAATTAACACGTTGATGACTTCAGGAAAAAATGGTATTCATGGCAATCATTTGAGATCATTGATCATAGAGGAGAGCTGAATATATTTACAGGTTTTATATGGTTATGTGGATAGCTGGCTAATAAGTCCAGACTATGATTAGACAATAATATAAATCACAAGTCCAATATTATATGTATGGATTAACAACTGCTGCTAATGTTTTTTAGAAAATTAACATAAACAATATATCAAAAATATTTAATCCTTCTTAGTAAGTCAGACTCATTCATATGAAATTTAACACGTTGATGACTTCAGGAAAAAATGGTATTCATGGCAATCATTTGAGATCATTGATCATAGAGGAGAGCTGAATATATTTACAGGTTTTATATGGTTATGTGGATAGCTGGCTAATAAGTACAGAGTATGATTAGACAATAATATAAATCACAAGTCCAATATTATATGTATGGATTAACAACTGCTGCTAATGTTTTTTAGAAAATTAACATTGAGCTGTCATAATATTCAATATATATTTGTGCGAGAACCTAGAGGAGGAGCATTTTTGAATTAAGATGAAGAGTTTTAATGTCTAGCAAAATATCCTTGGTGGAAAACTTGATTATTAAGGTGTCTTTTTCTGCCTGTATCCAAGTATATAAATCTGGGGTTGGGATGTCTGCTTTACGAGTTGTTCACCTTGATTGTGCCTCTTAAGGAATTATTTCTCAATGTGGTTTGAAATTTCATCCTAGAGTTTCATGCATTAATTGACATGATGTGATACAAAATGCACAAAATGGATGCTGATTCACCATGGATATTTGAGGCCTAAAATTGTACAATGGTGACTTACGAAAGCTATGGAGGAATCTGGGACTGAGGTAGATTCAGACTAGACTTCCAAATTATGTCTTAGGTGCTATTATGACTAAATTATGAGCCCTCAAAGCTGCAATTGAGGAGTTCCATATTATTTGGAATAAGTTGAGGCATATTCCCCTATATAGGTTGAACTATTGCAGTTTGAAAATTGATCTTGGCATTTTAAGTATTTACTGAATACTAAACTATTAGGTAGAGTTCAAGCACACCCTTATTCAAAAGTTCCATGCAGTACAGTAGTTGACATTGTACGTAACTGTAAAAGATATCTCCCTAAATCCACAAATGTTTTTGCATAGTTCAGCTGGATAGCATCATAGTATATAATGTTAGGGTCGAAAGGAGAAGTACAATACTTGCTCTTGTATGTTTACTGTCTGCTATTTATGCTTGAGTGATAAGCCTGTTTGGTACCTATCTATACTTTTCCTACATACTGGCCCACCAGACATAAAAATAGAAGATGAATTTGTTTGCATTTTTTGTGGGAAAACTTTTGTAAAATAGAAAATGATGGTAGCAAATGTAGAAATATTAAATCAGTATAGAGACATTTTCTAAAATGGGTAAAGAATGTTTTGCCTATTACTTTCTGACATGTCAACCATAATGTCATGTGAATACTAAAGACGTCGTTCAAAGCTTCAAAGTCATCTTTCACATCACTTTTTTGAAAATATTCCAAATGAGCCCTAATATCAGCAAATGGAAAGACCAAGGGGTGGGTTATGTGGTTAGCTATGTTGCACGGACACTTCAAAAATGGAGAAGTATCTGTGTTGACACGATATGCCACAGAATATGGATCAGATCCTCCATTTTACACTTGGACACAACTAGAAGATGACGGAAGGTGTCTTGCTTCTCTAGCGGCTGAAAAATTTGCAGAGAAAGAGAGAGATTTGGGGAAGACAATGAATTAGGGAAGACGATGAGTTTTAGAGCGGTTAAACGGTCTTTTGAGAAGTCCAATCGACAATGTTAATGAGAGTGTATTAAATGGGTTCTTGTGAAGTCCAATGAATGTAGTTAATGAGTTTATTTTTGTTTAATTTAATTTGAGTTTATTTTTATATACTTTTTTATTTCTTATATTTTAACTTTACAAACATATTATGTTGTAATTAAAATGAATTAGTGATATATCTTTTCTTTGGTATTAAATTTAAATTTATTTTTTAAATAATATATAAGACATTGAAATTGATTTTTTCCTTAAATTTTTGGAAAAGAATTTATTTTGACTTTAAATTTAAATTGATTTTGAATTATAATCCAATTGTTTAAATTGATTTTATCGAAGGAGTTGATAAACAAATAAACTAAAAGTTCATTTTTTAACAACCAATATCAGTTAATTTTGTTTACAAGTTAATTTAATATTGTGGTTATTTACTTTAATTGAACCGTTTTTCTTTTTGTTATTTTGGCATTGTTCTATGATTTTTAAAAATAAAAAATTTGTAAGAAGTATCCCCGTACCCGTATTTAAAATTGGGATTCTTTTTAACCACATCCCCATATCGTAATTTTTTATAATGTGTACCTGTATTTGATACCCGCACCCGAGTCACAGCATCATGGGTGGTTGGACAAGTTCAGGTTGAGATGTTTGGAAGGTGTCAGCCATGTGGAGTTTACCAAGAGAATAGCAGCCATATTATTATATATGTGTGAAATGAATATAGATCTCTTGCATTTGTAGTTATTTCTGAAAAGAAGTTATCGGTTTATCTTATTTGGTTTATCTTCAGCAAATCCACTCAACCATCATTTTGCATGATTTTATATTATGACAGCTCAGTCCAAATATTTCTACTTGCGGTTTAGAACGGCGTGCGAAATTTATGTACTTTTGGTTTGGTTTTGGTAATTTTAGCGCACAAGGGATATAAATGCTGTCCATGGCAGTGAAAACCTTGTCAAGTTTGAACCCTCTGCAATTCATATGTTTAAGATCTTCAGAAATTTTTTATAGTTTAAGATACTCTTGTTTGCACCTGTCTCACACTGCGAGACTAAGATGGGAATCTCTGAGTGATGAAATTGTGAATAATTATTTTTCTTGGCTTTAGGTGATCACCGAATCGTCTGGAAGGTTCTGTTGCAAGTTGTTTTTTTTCTGCATTAAAAGTGTGAAATGTTTATTTTTTGTTCTTGCTGTCCTTAAATGCGAATTTTCGATAAACCATGAAATTATCTTTTGTTGTCTTTCATGTTTTGACTTCTTTCTCTTTCTCAACTTCTCAGTGCAGGGGGTTGAATGTACCGTATTCACGATCTATTTTCACACGATAGGCGACTCTGGTATGCGATCACAGAGACAGTTTTCCAGTTCTGGGTATTCCCCTCCCTAATGAGAGAGCAGTCAGTGTTAATGGTTGTAATTTTGGAGGTTCTTGAATACCCCCAGAAGTCATAATGAACCTGTGTATCGTGGGGCTGCTGTTTGGTAGCACTTGAAAATGTTTCATGACCTTTTCTGAATTTTGAAAATGATGTTAAAATGTTATTTGTTTCCATGTGAAGAAGCATAATTGCCCTTTTCATTTGGGGATTCTCAATTTCCCATTATAATCAAACAAGGGGTTTTTGTCAACAGGACCGTAGTCGAATAAGCAAACTTCATTATAAGCGAGTGTTTTGGCAGAATTTTCGCCTTTGATTTCAAATGATTTTAAAAAGTGCTTTTGAAATTTATTGGTGTAAATGTTGTTTTATGTTTATTTACGAAAATGCAAGCATTTATGAAAATGAATAAAAAAATTATATTAATCCCATCCCCAATAAATAAATAAATAAAAAGATTAACACTTCAAGCAAAGATACATCAAATCAGAAGGAATCCCACAAAAGCCCCCATTGCCACCAAAAAGCTCCCCTTCAAGTTTGCAGCATTGCTGGTGGGAGCAACCGCCGGACCCTCAACTTCCGCCGGAGAAGGTGCTGGAGAAACACCGATGAAGCGGGAGTGCTTCTCAGACATCACCACCACAATCACCTTCTGACCCTTCTCGCAGTGCCCCTCCGCTCCACTGATGAAGTAGTACGGCCCCGACCGCTCGAGCTTCACCTTCGTATTGCCATCGGTGTAAGTTTCAAGTGGACTCGATGTGTTACATGTAACGTAGTCTCTTTTCGCCACTTGCAGCACTGAATCCTTAGACCCATCAAATTTCCACACTGAAAAACAGCAGAAAAATTTTCACACAACAGAATATTTCAATAAATTTTTATTACTTATTACACCGTGTGTATATATACCTAAAGAATCGCCCACTTGGAATCGAGTTTTTTCTGCCCAGTGATTGAGAGAATCAGATTCCGAAGAAGGGACTTTCCACGCATCGGATTTGCCGCCGATCAAGTGGTCTCTGGCTTCTGAGAAGCTCAAGAAGATGATAAAGAGGACAAGTGGGGAACACAAGGACCTTGAGAAACTAGCCATTTTTTGATACTGCTATGAAAAATCTTGAAGCTCAACGAATTTTTTATTGGAGGTTATTAAAGAAAAGAGGTTTCAGGGATGATAATGGTGGCTGTGTAGTATATGCAGCAGTATATATATAGAAGAGGCCGAAAAATTAGCCGTTAGGGAGCAGCAATTAGCGGCTGCTATGGAGATTTTGCTGGAATTGCATTTTTGTGCTTTTTAACGGATATAAATTTACTTTAGATTGGGACCCAGCAAATTATTATTATTATTATTATTATTATTATTATTATTATTATTATTATTATTATTATTATGATATTTTTTTTCTAACTTTTAAATACTTATTTTATTTAAGGAAGTGTCCCAAATGATAAAGCTCTAACACAACAATAATTAGAAAAACAAAAAAACTTAGGAGCATGAAATGCAGTTTATTTTAAAAGATAAATTGCATGTGTAGTCCCAACTTTGACGAAAGTAACAATATAGTCCTTGACTAATTTTTCTTTAGGCTTTTATCCCCAATCATATGAGAAATAGTAAGGTCAGTCTTCCTAGCAATGAGTTTGATCAATTTATTTGACAAATGATGACGCTCTAGATCTAGCACAACAAATAATTAAAAGAAATGAAAAATAAATAAATTATCTTCTTAGTTAACCCCCTTATGTTGTTATGCACTTGACTCCATCACAATCACTCCCACCGTCACAGTTGCCTCCTCTATATTGCCATCACCATCACCACCTTAATTGGAGGCATTTTATCCCCTTGGTTCATAAACAAAGGGGAGAAGTCGCAGCCAATTTTGCTCCATCTAGTTCATGGGTGGGGAGAAATCCCCCTCTAAATTCGAGATAAAAATATATATATGTATTTCATGATCAAAACTAATGGTACCTTTGATGGAATCCATCCAGAAGAACCAATTGTACCACAAATGCAAATGTTTAGGATCATATGCACCAAAATTTAAAGGTTTTGATAAAATAAATAAATACAACAAGATCGGCAAAGAATTGGGACCATTTGAACTAATTTTCCACTTTAAATAATAAAACTCTACCCTAGCAGTGGTTTGCTAAGGTTCTAACTTTTATATATATTTTAGTGACAAAAGCTACGAGTCAAAGATGTAAAAATAGATGATAAATTAAATTATTTAACTTCAATCCGCTCATTTGTTGACAACTTGTTTGGGAGTAATTTTTTGGCCCAAAAAATTGATTTTTTGATCGTTATTTTACTATTCCAGCCGTCATATTTGACTTCTTCTCTCACAGGTGGAATCCACTTTTCTCCTAACGGTCAAAAAATCAATTCTCAAAATCATTCCCAAGCAGGCTCAGGTATTTCATTAACTTTTATCAAAATCTACTAAAATTTTGCCTTTTAGTTTCGACAAATATAGACTAAATATTCAAACTTTGAGTATGTCACTCCTTTTTCCATTTCTATTGTATCAAATACGTAAATAGAGCGAAATACATTATTAAACTCGAATACTAATTCAATGTTGTAGACTTTCAACACGTCAAGGAAAAGAAGCAGCAATTCGACACGTTGAGATGCACCGCCGTATAATTAGCGGGACAGCCCCGCACCAAACCACCAACAAAACACACACAAATCTTGAGTTTCTACTCATATCAGAAAGGGAAACTGATAACTGCAGGAAGGAAAAACAATGAGTCCTGAGGAGTAAAAAGAGCAGGAATTGAGTGCTTAAGGCAGCGGCGGCGGAGCTTGCCTTACGCCACCTATACCATAGTTCTTGGTGGCCTTGCTATTACTGGTGCTATATGGTACTTCACCATGAAAAAGCCCGACGCCACCGCTCTGGAAGTCACGAAAGTTTCCGTTGGTGTTGCTTATCCTAAAGATACACATCCTCCCAAATAGAAATTGGAGATGCATTGCACACAATTTTTTTTTCTTTTATTTATTTATTATTATTATTTTTTTTGTAACATCTGGTGTTGTGAAAGACTGAAAATTTGTTGGAAAAACTTGAATCCCTCAAGGATATGGAGAAGAAGATCAATAGAAGTAGCAAACACCATAAAATGACCTGAACGCGTAATTGCTATACTCAAATTAAATTTGTCTCCTCTAGGATTATTTTTTATGTTTAAAAAGATTCATGGCAAATGATTTATAGAATTTAACAAGCCTTAGAAGAAAAAGACACTAACACCCCGTTTGGTATCCATTTTTTACGAAATGCATTTTTTTCTTTTTTTTTTTCAACCACACATTTTTTTATTAAAATAATATTATACGTAAATCAAAAAAATTTCTTTATTTTTCAACCACATATTTTCCATCAATTTACTATTAAAAAATGCATTACATAAAAATATCTCTCAGACACCTCCTAAGCAATTGTGTTTTCTCCTTAAAATTTGATCAATGATTAATATGTAAAGAGACTTTTGTAAAAATGAAATATTTTCAATCGTGGTGGTGTAATAATTGTGTAAATGAATGAAATCTATCTTATAGATTGTCAATCATACACTACGAAAAGGTTACAAAGATCCATGAAGAGATGCATTTTTATAAAAAGATGTTAAAAAACGAATCAGAAATTTCAAACCCAATGCCAAGGGCGAGTTTCAACTTCTTCATTTTTTTCTTCTTGTTTTGTTTTCGATATTTTCGTACTTACTCTATACACCCATATTATATATAATCATTTCAATATAGTCATCATTATAAATTGAACACCAAATTAAAACAATTTTCCACTTGTTCAACGTATAATGATATAGATATTCAAACTGGAAACATTTTTGCATACGAATCAAATATTTTTTTATTTGAATCTAATCATAATATAATTTTCACAAAGTATCATCGAGATTAAAGATAACATGATAGTTTCGAACCAGTTATTCCTTGTAATAATACCCGTGAAACACACACTCAAATGTCATGTGTTCACAAGTTCCTCAAACTTGCTTAGTGTTAGTATGATCTTGCAATCATCTTATTTGTTAAACTTTTAAAGAGAGAAACTTCAACTCTCTATTATGGCGGCACCACCTCGATGTTCATTTAGGTGAAGTTCTTCTATTATCTTTATTACTTTTAGAGATATTTATACTTAATATTGAACTTCATTAAGAGCTTTTGAGTTCAACCCCCATTTAAGTAACAACTAGTATTGTGTAATTAGGATAGGATTCTTTCAAAAATTATAATCCTAAATTTATCTATTTATTTAATGTCTTGTTGTTACCATTTGAACTCGTGGATTTTAGATTTAGTAATGACAAATAGGATTGACGTCATTTGTAGATATTTTAGTTTAAAAGTTTCAATACCATATTACTTGATGTAGATATAACTAAATCTCTAGTAAGAGGTTTAGTTAAAGGATAATCTAGGTTCTCAATTTACTTAACGTAACTTAGAGAAATTATTCCTTTTGATTAATTTTCTTACGTCGTCGTGTCTTAGACTTATATGTCTAGACTTTCCATTGTATACCTCATGTATGCATTTGCTAATGTAGCTTGACTATCACACATGATGGATATTGTTCGCGAAATATTTCTCTCGATTTAAATTACCGCAAGTGTACGGATCGTGACAAGTAATAAAGTGGATTTTAGAAATTCGAGTATCGTCCCACAGAGAAAGAGTAGTTCAATTTTATTTATTTTAGCCTTAACCGAAACTAATTGATTTAAGATGAATTTTAGAATTAAAAGCCCTAATTTTGGGGGAAATCCCCAAATTGAAAAACCCTAATTTCAAATCAAACTCTAATTACTTAAATTCACTTAACGAATGACTCAATTATGAAATGTTATGAAAATAAATGAAATGTATTGTCAATTTATGAAAATCTATGTAAAACGAATGCACTAGGATCACGAATCCCCAAATAATTACTAATTAAACCCTAATTTCACAATTTTGATAATCCAATAAGAATTTGACAAATCAATGCTCCTAAATCTATTCAATACTCTCTCTCGAGATGTATTGAACCTATTCTCATAAATCACCAGCCTATATTTCTATGACGGATGCAATTATACAAGAACGCATGTAATCTTTTTGTGAGCAATTAAAGATTTACATAGGGCATAGGGGTATATTTCTATCCCCTATCGGACCCTCAATTTGAAGAAATCTTGTAAATCTTTGTA